ACAAAACGTGGTCCGGCCACCATGGATTATGATTGGGCCATAAAAAGGGACGGAATTGGACTGAATGCTCCAGTTTGGGTCCTTGAAAACGTGATGCTAGATGGAAAAAGCCAGACACAAAAACCCACATCCTGCAAGATCCAATCTACATGAAAATTTGCAGAAAAGAGTCATCGCCAGTTGTCAAGGTGACTGCTTAATGGGATGAAAATGCCTTGGAACCGGACTCAGGTGGTGGCTGCAGAACAGTTTCAATGGGCTAATACCACTGAATTGCACACTTTCTCAGAGAAGAGTTCACAGTTCAGGGTGAAGCTCAGACAGGACAACACAAGGGCGTGAGTCTGGGCAGCTCCAGACTCCGGCACCTCTTCTGTGTCCCAGAGGGAGGAAGGGGCGGGAGGTTGTATGTTTCCTACAACTTATCATGAAAGTTTTCAAACATACAAGGAAGTTCAAAACGTAGCCTAAAGAGCATCCACACACCCTCCACTTAGTTTCAACCACTATTACCGCATTTCTCTCTCTCTCTTTCTCTCTCTCTCTCTCCCCCTTCCCATTTGGAAGTAAGTTGTAGACATCGTGACATTTCCCCTAGATGTTTCCATATGTTCCTCCTCAAAATAAGGAGGGTCTCCTGCATAACCATAAAATTATTGTCCCTGATTCATTTTTTAATAATTCTGTAATATCATCTAATTTCTAGTCCATATTCAAAAAATCCCCAGGGCCAGAAAGTCTTGGCTGTCTTGTTTTTCTTTCTTTTTTTTTTTGAAACCAGGTTGCAACCTAAATCCACTGTTGCTATTAGGCATTGCTCCTTAGTCTGTCATGACATGGACATTTACAAGAGCCCAGACGCGTTATCCTGTGAAATGATATGGGAGGTGATGTGTGGATTGTTCCCCAGAGGGTGGTTACCTTGTTCATGTTCCGTCCCCGCATTTCCTGTGGTCTGAGAGGGAAAGGCAGGGCCTCAGTCTGATGGGTTACTCACCGGGGACACCAGGGCTCTGTGTCCCTTCTGTCCCGCATCATCTGATGGACAGTCCAGGCCCCACTCGGACAGATGCTGGGGCCAACCCTCCCATGGAGGAGGATCTCAGCTATAGGGGGTCTTCTGTCCCTCACTGTGTGCTTGAGGCAGCAGCCAGTTTACCCAGAGCCCCCAGCCAAGGATCTAAGCACCCAGTGAACATCCCCGCTGGGAGCCCATGTCCTCCCCAGCGCGTTGCACCAGGAAGATTCTCCAATTCCTTCCACATTTATTACCATATTCTTCTAAAGGAGGTATCTCTCTCTCTCTCTCTCTCTGTTCAACACTTACAAAGAATTTTTGGGTGCTCAGATTGTCCTCAGTTTGGCCAGTGGGAGCTCCAGGAAGAGGATAAAAGGAGCCCGACGCGGGCCCTGAACTCACAACTCTTAGATCAAGACCTGAGCTGAGATCAAGAGTCGGACGCGGGTGGCTCAATGGACTGAGCCCCCGGGCACCCTGGGAATACATTTTGGAAGAAGAAGAATGGATCCGAGTCAGGTCCTCTGGGCCGTTAAAAAAAAAAAAAAATGCAAACATTTGAAGATCTAATTGGCTTTATTAAGCTATTCATGAATGGGGCCACATCCAGTCTTGCCAGTAGTGAGAGGTTCTGTCAAGGTGCAGAGAAGGAAAGGTGTTGAAAGGCAGAGAGAAGGCTCCTTTTGTCTTACAGAGTTTATTAGCCTTGTTGAGGTGAGGTTGCCCTGGTAGGGGAAAAAGGGTTTCTCAGAGGATTGCCTCCAGGAAATTCCAGTGCGGCAGGCTGAAGGTCACATTCCAGAGAGAGCAGAAACTGCGGTTGGGTTGAGGATGAAATCTGGCTTTACTGATGCCTTAATTTCAGCGGCTCCTTGGGCCTGGGGTTTTCTTTCTGACCATGGGAAGGGGACCCTTCCAATGGGGTTGGAGGAGACACCTCCCACAGAAGCAGAAGACAGAGAAGGGGTAAGGTTACAGGCCGGTGGGCAGGGTTCCTCCGAGGGGCCCCGTCTCAACCCCCGGAGCCTCCTGCCCCCACCACCTACAAGGGGGCACACACCTCCCCCAGCTCCAGAGAGGACCCAGGTACAGACCCAGGCTGAGCGGGGCAGGAGCAGCTTTCCCGTGGCAGGCGGACAGGGGCCTTCCAGGCTGACCCCCATGGGACTCGAGGCCAATGCAGACCTCTTCTCCCAGGAGTCTTCATGGGGAATGCATCTCTCTGCGTGCTCCACACCCACTGCCTACCCTACCCCCCATCACAGGTTCCAGGATGGAGCCGACATGAGGTGGGCAAAGCATGGCACAGAGACCCTTCCAGAATCCCCTGTCTGTTGTGATGGAGGCTGGTTTTGGAGGGCCTGCCTTTCCTTTAGGTCTCGGGGGGAAGGAATAGTTTCTATCCTCTTGCTGGACACACGTTGGTTGAGCCCCTGGCATGTGTCTGATGTTGCCAGGCACCGAGCACCCCGCAGAAGGAAAAACAGAGCCCTTGGCCTCGGGGCATTGCCTATCTTGCCAGAATATTAGGTTCACCGGGGAGTTGAAACGCCCTGGGCGCAAGCTCCCTGGAGACCCATGAAACCAGGGCAGGTGGTGATGGGCCAGGGGTGCTGCCGAAGGAGGCTCCCAGGTGATTCTAATGCAGGGTTGAGCCACCTGCCTGGTGGGGCGGAGGAGAGGGTGAGGAGCCATCACATCCAGAGCGATGGGGAACCTGAGCTCCAGAAGCACAAGGCACCCCATCCAGTGTAGGGGCACGGAGAGGGATGCCTGGTGGAAATCCGTTCAAGGATATGTTCTAGCAATAAATTCTAGCACAGCGATACGAACTTGACAAAACGGGAGGGAAAGAGGCATAGATATGTGGGCATCCTACACACATCATCCTTATTTCCCCCACTTCCTGTTGCCTCAATCAACTCACAGGAAATTTCTCTGAAAGCCTGGCATTTAGCAGAGCAAAGGCGGGGACCCTGGGCCCTTGAGCCCCAGGGTTTGTCCTGAGTGATGCTGGAGCGCCACCTAGTGGCCAGGGGTGACCTCAGCCTCCTGCCGCCTCCAAGGTGGGACCCACCAGGTGGGCACTGGGGGTCCAGGGCCTGCTGCAGCCAGGAGGGGAGGGGAGCACTAGACACAGCCTGGCACCCCGGGGACTCACCCCCACGTACTGCATCTACATGGGAATAATATGAAACAGAGTGCGGCTTGACTACTGTCAGAAACTGTCACCAATGAAATTGTTTAAGGAGCAAAATAGAGTGAGTGGAAATCTGGGTAACAGGCCCTGTCAGACGCTTTTATTTCTGTATTTATCCTTTAGCTTTTCTCAAGCATGACAAGAGACGCCTTGGGAAACCTGCATTTGTCTGGGAAGACATACCATGATCTTGAGGTTGGAATGTAGGGGGTCCTATGCCTGCAGGATGGGGGAGGGACCAGGGGCCAGAACGTAGGAGGGAGCCTTTTTGGGAGCCCTGACCTTTGGCAGGATACAGCCACACTGAGACGACCCCAGCTGGACGGGTCCTAGCCAATGCTGGGGTGTGTCCTGATCAGTTCAGGACTCCCTGCCCGCTGGGCCCCAAGCAAAGGTCCAGGCCCTTGGCTGGGATGATAGGCCTGTGGCAGGGTGGACACGAGCAGAGAACCAGTGCAGAGGAGCCCCTAGAAACGCTGGCTCACCCCTCATGGATGCCAAGAGTTCAGAGTAAGCGTGAAAGGATGCTTTACCCCTGTCCTGCTGTTGATCCTCCCCGCGATACAGCGAAAGCAGCCTTTTCAGGTGGACCGCAGTGTCTTAGCGTTTACAATTTCAGACTTGCTTATCCCAGTCCCCGGGGCAAGGATAAAAACCAACAGCGCCTCTCCACCTCACAAAACAGCGCACCTTCTGAAATACCCCCAACTTGACATCAGGGCTAACCTCCCCAAAAGACCATCTGGTCCTCCCCCTGGAGGCAGGCAGTAATGGGGTGAACGCACGATATGTCAGCCCTGGAGAAGTGTCCTGCGGCCCCGAGCCACAGTCTGGGCCTGGGCCCACCTCCTCATTCACTCGGGACAAGCCCTCCTAGAACACGCACCATCACAAACCCCAGCCTTGCAAACGGCGACACCAGCTCAGAGAAAGCGGCTGGATGTCTGCAGACATACGGGCAGCTCCGCTCACACCACGAGCTAGAAATCTGTGTCCTCAGGCTCCCTGGGCACAAGCATCACCGGCTGAACTCAGAGCCAGGAGAAGAGAGGGTGGAGGGGCCGGTCCCCCACCTCCAACCCCGCCCCAGCTGTCCCGTTAGATGCCATCCCTCCTGGGGCCACCGCCCCGAGATGTAGGAAGTGGACGCAGCCCCATGATCTTCCTGGCACTGTCACCCCCATGCGGGCCTGTCCCCTCCTCCCCCAACTCCCAGAACCAGGCGGGCCCAGCCCCAGATAGACAGTGAGACTGCAGAGGGGACAGCCATCCGGGCCAGGGCGGGAGCACCTGGCCCGGGCATCAGGTATCAATGTCAGGGGGTGGGGGGGAGGCCAACACCACTTCCCATCAATGAAAATTGAACAAACCTTTTCTGAAACATTAAAGAGAAAAGGAAAAGCGTTTTCTTGGAACCCAAGTGGAGGCCGCTGCCCAGGACACACAACCTTCACAAAGGAGAGCGTGCTCCCAGGAAGAAACGTTCAGCACAGGCTCATATATGTCTTCTGCATAAAGAGTTACAAATCATCGCGACAAAGGACATTCCAGAAAGTTACAGATTTTTATCTTGGTTTTAGTGTGTGCCAGGTTATAGGACTTTAATCTTCCAGGAACCAGGGAGGTGTTTCCTTTCCCTTATCTTTATGTTTAGAATGTTCCTTGTGGGTTTTTTTCCCGTGAGGGCGATGCACAGTGTGTGCTCGGGGCAGAAATGCAGCCCAAGCTTTGGAAAGGTTTTGCCGAGTCACTTTGACCTTGGTAAGTATTAAAGCACAGCTTCCCTGGGAGCCCAGGAGCAGGGCCCACAAATGCTAAAAGGTGAACGTTCTCTGTATCTGCCCTAGAAGCCCTCTAGCCCCGGATCTTCTCCTGAATGATTCCCGCCGGCTCTGGGAAGTGGGAACACTGGTGGATGCCAGCTTCCAGAACCTCTGGGACTCAGGGAACAAGCCTGTTTGATGGCGACTCAGATCCTTGGTGGAGGCAGTGGCTCTCCGTGCTGAGCCTCCTGGCCTGGGGGGCATCCTCCCCAGGCCCCCCACCCTAACGTGGCTGCTGCTAGTGGGGGCAGCATCTGGCCTGCCCGGCAGATGCCCCATTCAGAGCCAGCCCTGCATCTCCACGCTGCTGCCGTCCCTCCTTCTTCTCTTCTCTCTGCAGGAGCTCCCAGGCTGCGAAGGGCAGAGGAGAGTGGTCTGGGAGAAAGCCCACCAGGCTGTCCCAGGTCCCACCCTCCCTGACATTTACGCAGAGCCACCAAGTTCGGGCCCCTGGAGACACTCTGCTGGGTCCCGGGATACCAGAAAGGAGAGCCAAGAAGCAAAGCCAGAGCTGAGCCCCAACCCCACCCAGGCTCTCCTGGGGGCTCCACCACTCACCTACAGCGTTGAAGACCTCGGTCACCTGGTGGTTTAGTTTGGCTGAGGCCTCCATGAACAGCAGCCTCTTGCTCTCCGCAAACTCTTTCCCTTCCTGCCGGAAAAAGCAACAAAATTCCCACACTGGTTACAAAACACACTTTCCTAGGAATACTGGGCTGCCTTCAAAGACCCAAGAACCAGTGAGGGTTCCTCCGTTCTGGGTCGTGGTGCTCCTGGAGGGGCCCAGGGCTGGGGAGGTGGGAGGAGGGTGGTGGGGAGGCAGGGAGGTACTCGCCCCTCCATGAGGGCCCCACACCCCAGCAGAGCCCCAGCACCAGCTTCCCCTGGTGGCTCCCTGCCCTCACGTCTCCCCTCTGGCACCTGGGGGCTCTGACATGGGGGAAAAACCAAGTGAGAAGGCAGGAAATATGGAAGGGAAGCAGGCAGAGCTCCTGGGGGGGTGGGGAGCACATCTAAGCCCTGATTCTGGGGGTCCCTCCTGGCTTTCCCCCCAGGGTAGCACTGCAGTGAGTGATACGTAAGTGTGCTAGTGCAAAACTGTTGAGATCCGAGAAAGATGAATACTTCGTACTATTGTAGGAATATCCACTTTCTGATTGGATTCAATGTTTATGCGAAACTTTAGCATTCGGGAAGACTGGGAGTGGGGGCTTGGGGGGGTCGGGACAGACAGGACCTTTTTGTAGTACTTTTGCAATGCTTTCTGTAATTCTGAAATTACTTGAAAATGAGAGCCAAAAAATTCATCTGAAATCTGTGTTCCCCTTGTCCCTGCCTTGGCCAAAGCACCCGACATCGTCCCCATGGCTGGATGCCCGTGTCCCTGGCACCTGGACCTCCAGGTGTAGACTCAAGGTCCAGCTGTGCTTAGTGGGAGCTCAGAATAAAGAAAAGGTCAGGGGGTGGCCCAGAGCCCCGGGTGGTCAGTGGGGTCTACAGCCCTGGCCTCAGGGTGTCCGTTAGTGTGAGCTCTAAGCCAGGAGGCCTCCCTGCACAGGCAGAACGGGCTCAGCCCAGGGCAGGGGTGCCGCCGCCTGAGGCCCCTCGCTCCCCCAGAGCTCAGCTGCCTGCCTCCCAGCAATCTCACCACCCAGGGCCTGGTCTCCCCAACTAACTTGGCCTGACCTTGCCCCCAAATACTCTTTCCTCAAATCACCCATCACGCCCTGGCCCCTAGCTTCTCAAAATCCTCTGAGGACTCCTTGTTGCCCCCCAAATACTGCCCTCCCTTAACACCACACACTGGGATCCCTGCTTCTGAGCCCACAAGCCTTCTCATCACCGCCTTCCCCTCCTGGCGGCATCAGCCAACCCACTACAGCGAGCACCCTGCCTTTCCCTCTGCCAGCCATACTCCACTCGTCCCGTCTGCCCGTCCGCTCCTAGACCCTTCCCTCATACACACACCTACACACCTTCCTATGCACACATATGCTTGGCCTGCACACACACCCTGCAGGCACGGACCCACGCACACACCCCTCGCTCACTGCCTGCCGTCTCACAGCGCTCTACGGGCATCCCCAAGGCTTCTATCCCACCTTGGGTTGCTTTACAAAGCTTTGGCTTTCTTCTAGTCTATCCCTCCCTCAGTTGCTAGCAAGGAAATTTGGACTTAATTTATTGAGCACAAAGAAAAAGATCTGAAAACCCACCAAAGGGAACACAGGAGAGCAGGGCAGGAAGGGCGTGGGTTCCTCACAACCCTGGCTGAGCCAGCGGGTCCCTGCAGGCTGGCAGCATGGCATGTCCCCGCTCCTGGGACACAGGATGCAGGGCCGACCTGCCACCAGCTCGCCGCGGAGCTGGCCTCCCCACGCCTGGGGAAGCACCATCTCTAGACCTGATGTCTCCAGGAGAGCCCCAAAATCTTTGTCCCAAAGGGAAAGTCAAGCGGGAAGCATATGTGTTTGTGCATGTGTGATCAAGCGTGTGTGACATGTGTGCGTGTGGTGTGTGTGTGAGTGGGCGGGTGACGGAGTGAAGGCTGCAGGTATGTTTTGGGGTCACTCTCTTTGCCCCTCAGGGAACAAAACGACACTGTCAGGGCTACCTGGAACGTCACCTCCCGCTGCTCGCCGAGGTCCGTCTTGTTCCCAACCAGCATCACCACCACCTCCCCTGGGGGGGACTCCCTCTCTAGGTCCTTCAGCCACTGCTGAGCCTTGCTGAAGGAATCCTGACAAAGGGGAAAACACATCAGAACAAACCCCGTGGATGGTTCCACCGGCTATCCTGGCAAAGAGCAGGCAGAGGCGGGCGGCCGTCCTGTTAAAAGGCGTATGATCCCATTGGCCATATGACAGCCCCCACCCCCGCCCCGCACATAGCCCCTCCCCCCACCACTGAGCTGCTCAGGTGGGCAGCCTCCCACGCTGCAGCCCGTGGCATCGTTCTTGCCCCCAGCCCACCCCACCCACAGACTCTGCACTCTTCCTGCTCACCTGCCCTCAGCCACCTCCCTGCCCCGCCCCACCCCAATCCCAACATGCTAATCCCCACTTTCCTCCCTTTTTGCAGGAAGCACCCCCTACCCCAGGCTGAGTCAGGTGCACCCCCCCCCATCAGCTCCCACAGATCCCTGCCCTCCCTCCTCCGGCTCTAAGTACCTGCTGACTCGTACGTACTCAGCATCTACCCAGACAACACCCTGCAGATGTACAGCCAGGGGCCGTCAGCTCTTTCCACGACACACCCCTCACCAGTGCCGTGGGCCCCCAAGGCATCAGGAGTGAAGATGGGGGTGCTCTATGCAGGGGTTCTGAGAGGACCGTGGAGGGGCACGAATTCAACCATGCAGTAGCAGGAGCAGGGGTTATCAGCGAGGGCTTCCTGGAGGAAGTGACAGACTTTCACAGAAGTGCTGCCCACTGGCTGTGGTGGTTTTACCATAAAGCACCAGCATGGGCTGGTCACAGGAAGCCTTCAGAAGAGAGTATCCTGGGGCACCTGGGTGGCTCAGTGGGTTAAAGCCTTTGCCTTCGGCTCAGGTCATGGTCCCGGTGTCCTGGGATCGAGCCCCACATCGGGCTCTCTGCTCTGCGGGGAGCCTGCTTCCACCTCTCTCTCTCTGTCTGCCTCTCTGCCTACTTGTGATCTCTGTCTGTCAAATAAATAAATAAAATCTTTAAAAAAAAAAAAAAAGAAAAGAGTATCCTTGCGCCTGGGAGAACAGAAGACAGATGTCTTGCAAAGGAAGGTGAGAACGTGTTCGAGGCGAGCCTCACCTTCCTGGTGATGTCATACACCAGAAGCGCAGCGTTGGCGCCCCGAAAGTACAGGTGGCAGATGCTGTGGTACTTCTCCTGGCCAGCTGTGTCCCAGATCTCAAACTTCAGAGACTTGGAGCCCAAGTCCACCACCTTCGTGAAGAATGCACCTGAAACAGAAGCCCGGGGTGGGGGGCTTTGTAAGACATGGTCTTTAGAGCCCGGGCTGTGCCACTGAGGCAGGATGCAGACAGAGCTGTGGGGGGACAATTCACCCTGCTAGGAACAGAAGCTAAGGGATGAGTCTGGGCTGAGATCATGATTCTTTGGCATAAGACTCCAACTCCGGGGGGCTCCTAACAGAACCCACCCACCCCGGTGTCCGCCTGTTCATCCTGCCCTTCGCTGCACAGCCACAAATCTGAAGTCAGATAAAACCTCCTAGAGGCCATGTCCTATCCTATCCCCCAAAGTGATGGTCTTAGGAGGTGAGGCCTCTGGGGCATAATCAGAGTTAGATGAGGTCAGGAGGATGGGGCTCCCACTGTGGGATCAGTGCCTTTATAGGAAGAGACAGAGAACCCTTGATCTCTCTTTCCCTCTTCCTCCCTCCCTCTCTCTCTCTCTCCCTCTCTGTCTCTCCCACCCTTCTAAATCTCAGTGCCCTCTTCTTCACCACGAGCCAACAGTGCCCCCTTCCCACAGTGGGTGTCAAACCACAAGAAAAGAGAGGAGAGCAGGGTCTGTGCCTGGAGCTCCCCTTCCTTTGCCTGCCCTGGGCTCTCCCTGATTCACAGGGTAGGATGGTGGCCTTCTGTCCACATCCTTCTATCATGTACAATCACATTCCTGAACTTGATTTTGGTTGTTCCCTAAAACCTGCCACTGGCAGGTTCCCCACAGGAAACACCTTCGGGTCAGCCTCCCCAATTCAGCAACCCTAGCTCCCCATCTGCTCCTTCTCCGCTTTATAAATGATGGCTGCTGGTCGAGCTCCAATCCACGTGCACCCCAACAAACTTGCAGGGAGGGCTTTCAGTCCCAGCGATGATAAGGCACGAGTGATGGGGTGTTTACAGAGAGGAGAACCTTAACTCCCCCAGAGAGAGACATGAGGTTCCTCCAGGGCCCTGGACTCCTCTCCAGGGCAAACTTCCTCCCCAGACCCATGGAGCCCTTGGCTCCAATCAGGGAAAGAGCCCACATTAATTATCTCTCTTGTTCAGAAACCCACTGACCACACTTTCTACATCGTCACAGCTAAAGCCAGGAAGAATAATTGATATTGGCCTCCAGGTTGGGGGTGGGGTGGGATTGGGCCAAGAACCAGGAATTTTTCCGTTTCTAGAATACGTAGCTGGAGGCGACACATGGGCACATTTTCACGGGGCCTCGGGCGGACTGAGCTGGGCCGCCTGGTGCACTTACACATCGTGGTCCCGTCACAGCACAGACCGAGTCTCCTGCCTCCTCTGGTCCCACCACAGACTTCAGCACTGGCACCCCAGCAACAGCCCTGCCCTGGTCTCGCCTCCATCCTCTGGGGACATGGGGGGAAGGGGTGCGGCTCCTGCAGGCAGGTGAGCTGTGCAGCGCCCCCATCTGCACAGCGAAGGGCGTAAGAATGACAGACTGCCCTTCCCCCACCTTACTGTATTGCCCCAGATTATAAAGTATCTCTGTAAACGTCGACCTGAGGAACGAGGTGGTGCTCTGTCTGGTTTTAATGTCAACAAATAGCTGATTCTGCTCATTGAAGCCTCTTGGCCACATTTGCCTTCCTTGGACAGAGTATCAGTGGGGTCAGGGTTGAAGGGAACCTGAAATTTTTTTCTTTTTTTTGCATTTCAATAGAACTAGCTTTATTATTATTATATTATTATTATTATTATTTTAAACAAAAGAAATGGTCTAAAAGTAAATGCAGATATGTACCAAGGGATGGACATGACCTGGTACTTACAGAGGAGCTGCTGTGTCATAAATGAAAACAGAATGTTAGGAGAAAAATGGTATTTCAGGTGCTGTCTGCTTGAATAATCTGGAGATGCATGTTAACTGAAAGAAGGTGCTGTGCCAAGCAATCAGCGGGAATAAGGGCCAGGATGGTGACAAGGCTGAACGAGGGCTGTCTTTCCCTCCCACACAGGAAATGGCGACCCACCAGTAAATACGCACACCAGCACTAGATGTCACCATTGCTCCAAAAGATGTCACTAAGACAGCAGGGCTAGCACCAGGAAGCAGGGAGAATTCCGGGGCTGTGACCAGTTGGGACTCCAGTATGAGGGCTCTGTGGGGAGCCCAGTGGGGCTTCGGGAGCTCCCCGTGGTTCAAGCCCCCAGCGCCCCCCCCATAGTACTCCCCCTTGGAGCTGCCCCGCCTCCCCTGCTAGGCACTCTCCGGCAGTGGGACGCGGTTGGGGGGGGTGGCTGTGGGGCTTTTCGGGTCTCCCCTCAGTAGGCTGACCCCCAAGGGCCTGTGCTCCCTTGAAATTCCCACTCTCATTCTGCTTTGGGGACATGAGCGTTCCAGCTGTCTCAGGGCAAGACCCGGAAGACCCCGTCCAGCCAGGGGACAGACAGACAATGGAAGCATCTGCCTTCGGAGGGCTTTTGTACAACACAGACTACACAGACATAACTGAAAGGAGGGATCGTATTCCATCACCTCGTTTGAAGTGGGAAGATCGACCTTTATGATAACATACAATGATGTACTAATTATAATGGCATGAGAACTAATAAATCCTGTAGAATATAATATACAGATAAACATCATAGTATAATAACAAATAAAATCATTAACTGCCCTTCTTTATTTATTTTTATAACAATGTAGCCACTGTGACAGCAACCTCCACAGGTTGTGGTGTCATAAAGCATGTGAAGTCAGCTCTGAGATTTAAGGGTCAGGAAGTTCTAGTCCCGTGGTAGGCAGCTGCTTGAATAAACAATTGCCAGACCCAGCTGGAGGCTCGCGGCTCCATGGCGCCTGTCTGGTGGTTTCTGGTGTCTGGTGGTACGCACACGTACACACTCCAGGGACAGTGGGAAGGAAACAAAGACCCGAAGCACCAGCCCCAAGGCAGAGGCAGGGTCCTGAACCTGAAAGCGGGGAGGACAGCCAAAGCTGCCCATGAGGATGAGGCTGGTCCAGGGCCCAGGCAGAGGACCACGAGGTGAGAGAGCACCCCTAGGCCTGCCCTCCAAGCAAAGACCCCCACTCTGACCTGAGCCCAGTCTCTGCCCACCTGCCTGAGACCAACAGAACCTCTGAAGGGTGCGAGGGAGGATGCCAGCATGTTCCCAGACCTGCTGAAGGAACCTATGCAAGTTTCTGTGGGCAGGGACAGGCCCTCGCCCACCGTTCCTGTACCTGCTATGGGGTGGGAAGCACTGTCTGCCAGGCTTGGGAAAGTTAGTAAACTTCCCATTCATTCAGAGTGACTGCACTGTCCTTGGCGTAGCTGGCTCTGTGCTTAGGAGTCCCCTCCTGCTCCCCAGGGAGGGTCCTCACTGCAGCCCACCCCCGGGACTGGCCCCCTCTTCCATACTGGTAGAGCAGAGGCCCAAACTGTTTTGGCAAAGGGCCTTCAGTAAGTACTTTGGGCTTCAAGGTGCTACCTCATAGCTATCCCCGCAGGATACGCAAATAATGGGCACGACTGGATTCTGGCTGGGCCAGTCCCCCTTCTCCCGTCTCTGCTCTCCACAGAATACCCCCACCCCCCCAGGCCAGATTTAGCACTTTGTTGTGTTCTTTTTTTTTTTTTTTTAAGATTTTATTTATTAGAGAGAGAGAGCGAGCGAGCATGAGCACAGGCAGACAGAGTGGTAGGCAGAGGCAGAGGGAGAAGCAAGCTCCCCGCTGAGCAAGGAGCCCGATGTGGGACTCGATCCCAGGACGCTGGGATCATGACCTGAGCCGAAGGCAGCCGCCCAACCAACTGAGCCACCCAGGCGTCCCTGTCGTGTTCTTTTAAGTCCGGTCCAGTATTGTGGCTGACGGGTGTCACTTTTCCTGCAGATGGAGAAGGTCGCCCTGGGCCCCTTCAGCCAGCCTGAACCACCATCTTTATGAGCTCTTCCGGAGATTCCCCCCCTCCTGGAGCCAGCCCCTCACCCCTTCTCTGCCCGGCTCACCATGAGTGCTGGGGGCCTGGACCTGGCAGGTCTCTCGGCCCCCATGTCCCTCTGGCACTCTTAGCAGTCACTGTCCTGAGAAGCCTGCAGGGCTTCCAAGTAGCTAATGGACACGTCAAAGTTAGCATTGTGTGTCCCTGTCCAGTGCCCCTGTTTGGCGTCTTCTAGAGCCCTCCACACCTAGTGCAGGCCTGGGACAGAGGCCATGCCCAGCAGGTACTCACTACATGAGTGAGGGAGGGAGTAAATGAATGAATGAATGAATGAATGAGTGAGTGAGTGGACTTGACTAAGTACCAAGCAAAAGGCTTGTCCATGGCAGAGTCCAAGTCTGAGGCCAAAGCTCTGGTTCTGAGTGGGGGATCTCTCCTTGGCCATGCTAGCCACCTCCCAGGAGGGCTGGCATGAAGTACGTGTTGAGTTTCTATTTTAGGTGGAAAACAGGATTTCCAGCCCCAGAACAGCGTGTGACAGAAGTCAACAACCCAGCAGATGCTCCAAAGGCCCTTTTCCCCAAGAGCTATGACCTGTTACCTCTTTAAGAAGTAGAGAGTGGGTCTTCCCTCCATGCCACCCCATCCCCCCAATCCAGGCCAGGTGGCAAATGGAGACCAGGCAGAAAGGGAGCTGCTCTTCAGGACACTACCCAGGGGAGCAGCATTGGCAGGAGGGACCCTGGGCAGGGTACGAGGTCAGCCTATCTGGGCGGCTGAGTGGCCGAGCCTAGGGGGCCTTCCCTTGGGCTCCCCGTCCACCAGGAACAACCCCTCACACCATGCCTTAGGGGCCCAAGGCCCTGACCCTGAACCCCTGCCCCCTGCAGCCTCCCGCTACGCTGACACCAGACTGCTCTCTGGAAGGCACATGTGTCTGACCAAGGGGGGCCTCATCCCTTCCCTGCTGTGCTGGGTGCCACCCGAGGCCCCGGGAGAGTGTGGGAATGCCCCACCCCTGGGCCACCGCCCTGGCTTCCCCTCTAGCAGACTGACCAAGGGCATGCTGTCCCATGTCACTTACATCCCACGGTGGGCAGGATGCTCTTGAAGTCATTCTTCACGTACCGGAGAGCCAAGCTGGACTTGCCCACAGAGCCACTTCCCAGGAGGACCAGCTTGAACACGCAGGGCTGGTCCAGGCCAGCCCCAGGAGAGGGGACCCGTCCCGCCTGTGCCATGTCCTGCCAAGAGACAGCAGATGTAGGAGGTTGCATGTCTGCCGCCAAATCAGCTTAGTGAGCTCGCCCCTGCGGTGCCGCTTCCCTGGGGGAAGGCAGACAACCTTGAGCAGCGGGGAGCTCAAGGTCCGAGGCAGCAGCCTAGGTTGGTGACCCTGTACCACTCAGCACCCTGTTCCCTCACCGCAGAGCGGGGTGAGCAGACCCTGCGTGACAGGTTCGTTGCGAGCAATGCTCGGGAAGTGTCTGAAGGTGTCCAGCAGGACCCACTGCGTTCAAGCACTACATACCCTGGAAAACAGTCCTTGTGTGCTGGCCATCACGCTGCCTTGTCGTCCTCGTTCCCATTACTTCTCACTTTTTAAAAAAATCGATTACTTATTCCAAAAAGTACTGAAATCGCCCGAGAGGCAATGTGCTCTCTCCATTGAGGCTCATGGGTTGGAGATGGTGCTTTGAAAGGATCTAGGATCTACCTAAAGAAAAGGTCAGTGTTTCAAGGACCTCAAAACATTTTGGTCTTTCCCGCTGTATCTAAAGCCTCAGCACCTGTGAGGGATACGCCGTAGAGAAAACCAGCTCTGTGATCAAAATAAATTTGACTAAACCCTGCGTATCTGTTCATTACAGAAAATTTCAGGCACCCTCCACCGTGGAATGGAGACAGTCCTAGTGGGCCTCACTCACTCTCCTCCACTTCCAAAACTTTGGTTCCCATCCATCCCCAGACCCCCTCCCACCAAGACCAGTGTGAAGCAAACCTCAGGCACCCTGTTGTTCCATCTGCAAATCTCAGTATATATACACGTATTCTTTTGTTTCTTTGTAATTAATTTGTTCAAGAAATCAGCTTCGCAGTCTTCCTCTGGCTGATTGGATCCCCTGTTCTTGTCCTGTGAACCCCGTATTTGTTCTAGCCTGGCAGATTGAACAGCAATCTGATCAGAACCAGGCCATTGTTTGGCAAGGATGCTTCATGAGCATGCTTTGCATTTCTTCAGAGGGCCAATAATGGCCAAGCACTCTGGGGGTGATGCTCGGGGTCCCTGAAGACCATTGCCAGATCCACTATTTCACTAGGACCAGTGATGTTCTAATGTCCCCACCTTGTCTCCCTTTATGATCTGGGCCGCTTCTAGGAAGAAAAACTTCCCCTAAATTACATCGAAACCCACAAGGGGGTGGGCAGTCCTGGGAACAGCCTCCCCCTCCTCCTCACTCCATTGGCAGGAGGGAGGCCCCCAAGGGTAATGGGAATGGAGGAAGGGAAAGAACTTGCAAGAGGAACGGAGACAAAAGCAACAGCAGCAAGAAGCACACCATGTCCCCCACCCCCACCCCCACCCCACAGCTGTCCCTGTCTGATCTGCCTGCAGGGACAGGAGGGGTAGGGGCGAGCTTGGGAGTGGGGAAGGGGTGGGGACAGGAACAAGCAGCCCTGAGTCCTAACTACTAATAAGGCTGTCCCCAGCACAAGTGAGCAGGGAGTGACAGGGTCTGAGAGAAGGATTCAGAGCCATTTCTGCCCCTTGAGGACAGGGTGCTTGACACAGTGGAGGGGAGTTTTGGGAAGGCGTGTGGAAGCCCATCTTATGTGGGATTCACAGGTCTCACCATTAAGTATGATGCTTATAGTGTCGATGCGTGATGTTTCAGAGAAGGATTGGAAAGATAAAGTATTTTAAGTTTTCTATCTCTGTTTTTTTGAAGCGGATCCTGGGGTCACTTGGGGAGCTGCTAGCTTCGAGGAAATCTGCTAGATCTGCTCAGATCTCTGTCTCACGGATGCAAACCTCTGTCCCACCACAGCAACCACCCCGATCACATCCAGTCCCCAGCAGCAGCAGTTGTTAAAACAGACAGTCTCTGCCATCACATGCCCCGAAGTCAGTCCCTGTCCCTCTTCCTGATTGAAGTAACTCTGGTTTTGAACTCTGTCTTAGCTCATAAAATTATTTTTTAATGACTTATCTCTCTTGCAGGACTGTAACCTCCAATAAGATTCACTTTATATAATTATTTTATTAATACTCACATGCTCTGGGTTGTAACCTCCCAGGAGAGCAAGGACCATAATCATGGACCTTATAGTAGGTGCTCAATAAATATTCCATGCACACACAGGAATGGCTCCACAAAAAAGCCATAACTGGACAGACATACTGTTTCCACCCCCGCAGTTTGCATGGCAGGTCCAACCCCAGGGAGCTGGCCTCGCAGTGAACTGGGCTATCTGCCAAAAGGCTGAGCAGAAGAAGCATCTCCAACAGGCATTGGGAATACCTGCTTTGCATTTCCCACATCAAGAACAGTGGTTTGATGAGCCCGCCCAGGGGAGCCGCCAGCCTGGGCTCACAGCTGAGAGGGCAAGTCAGCTCAGTAGCAAACCCTAATTTATAAAGTGCTGCTTTTTTTTTCCCCCCCAAACTCAGAGGAACAGAGTTGAACACTGGTTACCAAAGACTGGGGAAGGGGAATGGAAAGATGCCAGTCAAAGGGTACCAACTTCCAGTTACAAGATTAACAAGTTCTGGACATCTAATGGACAACATAGAGATTATAGCTAATGATACTATATTGTGTCCTTGAAAGTCCCTAAGAAAGTAGGTTTTAAATGTTCTCAGGGCCAGAAAGACTTGGTAACTATGAGATAGGACGGAGGGGATCACTAACAGCATGGCGACCATCACATTGCAGTATACAAATGGTCAAATCAACATGGCGCACACCTTGAACTTACACAATGTTGGATGTCAATTACAGCTCAACCAAGCTGGAAAAAAAATCCTTTTAAGAATGGAACGTCCCAGGGCACCTGGGTGGCTCAGTGGGTTAAGCCTCTGCCCTCGGCTCAGGTCATGATCTCAGGGTCCTGGGATCGAGCCCCGCATCGGGCTCTCTGCTCAGCGGTGAGCCTGCTTCTCCCTCTCTCTGCCTGCCTCTCTGCCTACTTGTGATCTCTCTCTCTCTCTGTCAAATAAATAAATAAAATCTTTAAAAAAAAAAAAAAAAGAATGGAATGTCCCAACTTTTCGGCGTTACCCCAAGCTATTCCCTTGTTTCTAACCAGAAGTACTTAACAGCTGCTGCTTGGAAGCAGGCACCCCGTTGATTCAGACCATAATTTGCACAGAGAAAGTTCTAACACACCTACAGTGATACATTCTTGAGAAGTTAAAGATACCCCTTCAAGGGTTCCTTGCTATTTATTCACTCAGATTAATAAAGCTCTTAAGTCTAAAAAATCTTTAGCGTAAGACATGTGTGAATTAATCAAAACAGGTGGGGTATGAACGAATGATCCATTCCTCCGATATCACATTCCAGCATCTTATTCCTTTGGCAATGATACATCTCTTTGTTTAAAAATAGTATTTTACAATAAATATAAACACATCATTGTCAATATGAAAAAATCACCCCAGATCCCACCCCCTTAATATAACCAGGAAAAGCATTTTTGCCCATTTTCTTCTTAGTTTTCAGGCTATGAATCTTATAACAAGCAAACCAAAACCCAGAGCTTTAACATAAAATGATGTATCCTCCCTTTAAAAACATAACATACGTAAAAAGCAGCTTTCCACACTGCTGTGTACATTCCACACGCATTCAGCATGATATGCTCACTGACCACAGAACATTCCTACAGCTCTTCCACTTTGCTAACCCATTTCCCCACTACAGGATTTTTTCCTTGGTCATAATTGTCTTCTTGGTAATAAATAAGACCGCAGAAAGCACTTTTGAGTACAACTTTTTGTGTGATGACATGTTGTAAGCTTCCGATAATCACAGGCTGGAGCCCTCTGGTCAGAGAGAAAATTGAAAATGTGACTTCTGACCCAGCCTCTAGAATTTAATCGAGATGAGGTTATTTGAAGTCTTTCTAAACACAAAGATGTTCTCAGGAACGCAATATTCATGATTAGGAGTAAGAGACGCCCTCTGGAGCATCCTGATTAGGGCCTTTTTAACATTTCTTACCAGCTCATCTCTTTTCTACCAAAGGGAAAAAGAAAGGATTGCAAATCTGAGCTGGTCCTTTCTTGGGATAGGGGAGGGCATTTCGGGGCATTTCCGGGAGGCTCTGCACTGCTGAACCTTCTGTCCAGGATGTCACTGGTGTCCTCCCTGCCCAGGGGCGTGTAAAGAACAGGGAGATTACTGAGAAGCTGGTTATGCCTGGGCCGATCTGCACTAACTGGGCGCCCTGATCCCTCCAAGACAGGTCCCTTGAAGGGCTGGCTCCTCGCCCCCACCAGCGGTTTACAGTCAAGGCCTGGAGCTGAACTTTTCCCAAAGCCACCATACGGGAGTCTCCTTCCGGGGGAACCCGACCTAGCCAGCCACAGGGGTTCCAAACAGGGGCACTTCCGGTCCTCCGGAAAACAAACTCCTCCCCCAACCCTTGGCCCTTTTGTTTAGGCCCACAAGGGCAAAGGTACGGACACCCTCACACACACGTGCACACAGATACACACACAGATATACACGGACACCCACAGATACACACAGACACTCAGACACTCACACACAGACATGCACACACACTCACACACACTGTGCAAGCAGACAGAAGTTAAAACAATGACTCACGTGTTCCCGAGGCCTGATCACCTCCAGGAAACCTGGCAGCCTGTCATCACCGGGTCCTGTAGGACCCCCACCTGTCTCCCCTTTCTCCCTCCTCTGGCCCCTGGCAAGGTTTGCTTCCCCTGCCCCGCCCACAGGCAGGCAAGCAGGGGACGGTGGCCCCGGGTGGGGACAGACTGAGGTTCTGCTCCAACAGAAAACAGGTAAGAGACGGCCCCGCCCCTGCCCCCGGGTCAGGTCTCCTCCTCCTGTCCCCAGAGGCTCCCAGGACAAAGTCCACCACGGTCATGTGTCACCTGGGACAGGGCAGGGCGGGAGGCTGGATGGTGAAGCCGATCTGTGAAAGCACCTGGGAGCCCGCGGGAAGCCAGACTCCCATCTGGGGTGTGGGGGTCACCCACCTC